GGAGCAAGAAGGTCTGACAATGCTTCTTGCAGTAAGGAGCTTTATCACACATCAGAGATGTCCCCGTTGTCCAATCAGAAGGAACGTGAGCAGGAAAACAGATGTTTGAAGGAATACACACTCGCGCCCCCCCTCAGTGTCATCGTAGATTGTCTATGGGGACAGAAGGAAAGACAACAAATGGATCATTCGAGATCACATGGGTTCCAGCTTTAAAAACACAATGCCACCGTGAACTAGGTCAGGTCACAGACTCCGTGTACATGAGATCAGCTGCTCTCATCACAAATTGTATTAAGGGAGGGAACTCTGGAAGTCTCTCCTGGTACTTTGAGTGGAAATTAAACTTGGAGGGAAAACGCTCAAAGGGTCAGTAAGGGTCTTTGTGCCGATTGAGTCATTTCGTGACTAGTTGGTTAATGGTTATTACTCAGCATTACATTGTGATCTGAGAATCATAACCAAAGATGCTGGTTGTTGTTGCTGCTATTTAAGCAAAAGAAAATTCATGTAAGTAATAAAATAATAAGTAAGTAATAAAGATGGACAAACAAAAACTTCAAGCAGAGAGTGAGGCATTACCGATCAGACGACAAATATATTCAATGCAGTAATAATACAAGAGATTAGGATTATTTCAAACAGTAGACACAAAATCTGTGAATGCACTTTGACAAAACCCCAAACTACTTCACTGGGTACTTCACCCAGTTGCATTACTTAATAGGTAATTAGTTTTATTTGACTCTTAACTCCACGGGTAGATAATGGAGAGAGGCCAACGTTGGAGTAATGTGCTCCTGCTTTTCCTTTGTTAGCAGATGAGCTGCAGTGTTTGAACCAGCTGAAGCTGCAAACATACAAAGAATTACTCTCTGAGCGTGAAGACACAAAAGCATCGGATTCATTCATCTGCACTTTAAAGAAGCTAATGTGTTTCATCCTGGAATCATTTCTTTACTGGAAAGAGCGTGAAGGAAGTTTGTTGATTTGTGGAAAATAGTCATAAGAGTTCCGACGAGAAATGAAAAGAAGCATTTTGTCTGCAAGTCTAATCTTTATCACACCAGGATTTCAGCATTACACCATTAGTAAAACAGTAATATGATAAGCTGAGGGTTGCAAGTTGGAAAAATGCTGCAAATTTAAAGCGACAGACACAACATAAACTAAAAACCCAGCTTTTGTATTCACTTGGAGAATGTAACCTGTCACAGATCATCCCTCTAATCTGACTGCATTTGCTCATGTGGCTAATTATGTAACAGGTGAGATATGAAAACAATGGCTGAAATATGGGACACAATGAGGAGCACATCAACACTTTTTCAAATGGAGGCACACACATAACATTCATTATTTATTGTTTAATGTTTCCAAGAACATCTGTGTGCTTCTATTTTATACAATGACGCTTGTTTTTTGTTGGAGACGTGAATGTATCCATTCTGGTTTTTCAAATGTTGGAATTTGGCTTTATTCAGAATAAAAGCTACTTTTCGTACAGATACAAACCCTGTTGTGGATATTGGCGATAGAAAGGTAAAAACATGCTGCTTAGATCCACTTGTCTATTCTACACTTAACGGTTTATTTTAAGGGATGAAAGCTAAACTTGGATCTGTATCACACATCTTCACCTGCTGCAACGACCCGCTGTTGCTTCAGGAGTCTGGCACAATTGATTTAGCTCCTGAAAGCACACAGGAATGATCTGATATGATGCTTCTGTTAAATGCTGTCATTTTAAGAGCATTGTCAGTAATCTTCCAGTATTGAATCCTCTCATTTTTAACTTGGCATTCACATAATTCAGTAACTGGAACTAATTTCTTCAACTATGGCGAGTGTGCTTCAGAAAACGAACAAATCATATCAAATTGTTGTTCCATTTTCTTGAAATCATGTAAAAGAAAAAGGTTAATTCTCTTAAGGTTGAGTACTTAATGCGGCCCTTTTGCTGCTCGTCTCTTCTCTGCCTTTCCTGGCTGTCTCTCTCACTGTGACACAAGTATATACCAAATGAAACTGTATTCCTTGACAAACAGTTATAGATTAAAAAAACGATACTGAAGATGATGGTTGCTGCTTTCTTTTACTCAACTTCAAGTCTGTTTAACACTGTGACATAAACATGCTCAGTGTATATTTCTCTGAGATAAAGACATTATTATCAGTGGCACGTTTATGTCATTTTTATAGATTTATTTTTCATCTGTGAAGATGTTGCGTCTTTCAGACAAGAGCTGAAATTCTGCTGTTATTTGCACTTAAACTGGTACGTCTTGTATCAACTTATTTAGTCTGTTCGTTCTGAGAATCACACAAAAAACGGTTGACAGTGCTGTGAATTGATTGTCAAAGAAGTGCAGGAGGAACGACTACAGCGGTGAATATTTATCACCGAAAATATCAACACAATCAAGAAAACAAGAATCTCACAAAGAATGTGACTTTGATGCATTGTCAGCACGATTTAAATTGCATCTGTCAAGGCTCTGAGCCAATGGAACTAAATCCCTAATAATTCATCACACACACACGCGCACACACACGCACGCGCACACACACACGAGCACACGCGCACACACTTCGGGGTTTCTCCCACAGTTGGAATGAAACTGATGAATTTCTGTTCACAGCGGGTTGTTGGGGAACATTTCTGGGCTTCTTTGTTCACACAAAAAGCAGCTCGTCTTTGGCTTGTGCACACACACGCACACGCACACACAGGCACGCTGAGGCTGAGATGATTTATAGCCGGCCATGCCTAATGGATTGCTTTGGCACTTGTGAAATTATGAAAAGAAATTAATTAGCCTTTAGTGACCCTGCTGTCCATCTGCCTCTCTCTACCCCCCCCCCCCCCCTCACCCGCAGCCCCCCCTCAGTGACCCAGTCATCTGGCTGCGCACTTTGGATGTAATTACAGTCAAAAGGGGGGGGGCTAAGCCTCCACACATTTAGCTCCGTTAAACAACACCGGTTTACCAAATGAATGAAGGATATGTATTCTTCAACATTCAGTGGTTAAAAACAAGAAACATGATATATGTGATTGCTATTGTTTACATTTGTATATTGAATTCTTTATTATTGAATCATGATTTATTTATTATTCACTCTACTGTTTGTTCCTGAATTTATTTTACTTTACCTGCTAGACTCACTACCAGAAGAGATATTGTAACTATTCTTATATATCTATAGATATGTAGATATTGTATTTCTGATTTGATCTTATCTAAAGTCTTCTTAACCCTTTTTGATATTAAAAATATGTTATACAAATATGTCGTCAATAACAGAAATACAAACTTCAAAAACATGAAAGCTGAAAAACAAAAACAAAGAATGAATAATTGATAATCCCGGTCTGCTTCAGAGCCGCATACACAACGTTCAATGACGAAGGTAAATCAGTGAACGGCCATGCGAGAAAAAAAAAAGCTCCGCAGCCTCTTTCCTCCTCGGTGAGGATTTTGGAGAAGAGCAGTTATTTTCTATCTCTCTGTTGGCTAAATTCAGTTGGAGAACAGAATGCTCATTTCAGCAGAAGACCGTGGAGTTCTGGTTTTCTTGTCCTTCTGCTGCCGTGTGTCCTTCAGTGGAACAGGATGAAGGCTTACCGTAAAATGACCAGTCACCAAAAAAAATGTATTTGTGTCACAAAATTCACAAAATGAGCTGACGCAATACGTATTCATCCAAAGGGCAGTCTGTGAATAAAATGCAGTTTTGTCAAGTGTGCAGCTCAGACACTAGCACTGAATTATTTTGTGGTTTCCTGCCTCCTGGCTCCTGGAAGCAGCTGCTATGAGGCGAAATAAAGCCCATGAAAGCAACGCTGGGGGAGACGTGATTATGGTCCAGTCCAAAATAAGTCTTCACTTCACATCCGGAGGTGATGTTCGTTTGTAAGTGTGTGTAATTCTGAACACGGAGAAGTATTCGGTTTAGCCCCCTGCTGTTTATCCTGGCATAGAAAAAATACATTTCTTCCTTGAGACGAGCAGCTTGATGACAACCAGGGGAATCACTGCCTCCCTGAGTGACAGATATGCAGATGGCAAGGGCTTTGGGGGTTATTTTCCCAAAATACTTACAACAAAAATCCCATGTTTTCACCAAATATTGTCTGGTAGTCGCTTGGATGTGGAAATGTGCGAGTCACTGTAGAATGTGTGTAATTTGTTCTGCTTTTGCATCACTTTTCCTGACCTGTAAGGTGCTGCCTGTGTTTAAGTCCTTATGATGTAGTGATTAAATTATTTTAAATACAATAAGAGCATATAGAAATGTGTGGCCGGTAGGTGCTGTTTTTTGTGCTTGACCTATCTTGCAGGTCAAGCTTTTGAATGGAAGTGCAAGACTAATTAAAAGAGAAATGAAAGTAGTGTGGTCAGTTCAAACTAAGAGAAAGTATGAAATGATAGAAGGGCAGAGACTGATTGAGGGGGCGAGTCAGTAAGAGAGACAAAGAGAGAGCGAGGGAGGTGGAGAAACATGGCGGCATTATTAAGGGAGGGATGCTGAGGAATGTAATCCCGCTCTACCTTAGTGTCACTTCTGTCCTGCACCTCCTCTGGTCTGTTATACCGGTACGGTCCAGCTTCCAGCACATTTCAGTTCCCTGGTGTTACATCACTCACCAGCCTTCCTGCTGGCCTCCCCTCACCAAGTGTGCACATGAGATGAGATGTTCAGTGGGTGGTACAGTTTGCACACAGGATTCTATGGATTTTCCCTCTTGGAGGCTGCAGCAAAAACAAATCCAATGTCTTCTTCAAGCTGGCTGGAGATCTGAGCATTGCATTCTTTCCAGATGAAGGGATAGTGGCGTATTAATGGGCTGAGGCTATAAATTGATACGCCAAGCGAGTTTGCTGCCTTTTTAAGTGGAATGTTTGATGGCCCCAGTAAAGACGCATGGTGAATCTTTGACAACTGCTTTACTAACCACCCCCCCCCCCCCGTCTCCTCCTCCACCACTTCTGCAGATCCGAGTTCGACCTGGACTGTGACAGCTACCACGAGGACTACAATGACAGGTAATGTCAGAAAGCCACGCATGGCAGCTCACACACATGATTGCTTGTCTGCGCGTCACAGGAGGCTAAAGGAAGAGGCTAACGTGGATCCCTAAACCTCCAATAGTCTCCGCTCCCTGTCGCTGTCTGCCAGACGTCCGTCATCCTGGCTTTGCTTATGATGTCGCCGGCTACTACTTAACAGCCGGAACCTGTTGGACAGACAAGTGCACACTTTCTTTAAAGACACCCACCTTGTGGATTTGGGATGCGTAATCCCATTCGAGCGTCGTCTAGCTGAATCTAAAATGACTGTTTAGCAAACATGGTTATATAATTTCCTTAAGCTACATCCATGTAAAGTTACAGATGTTGCCTTGAATTTTAGAAGTAATCCGTTTTGAGTTTATAGAAGGATATTATCAATGATGCATACTACTAGATGCAGTGGCAAGCTGTGGATTTCAAACCTACGACTTAAATAGTGTGAAATCATTCGATACATATTTGTGTGTCAAAATATGTATCCAAATGAAATTGATATTCTGATGATGTTCAGGCGAGCAGAGAAGGCCTTGCTGGCCCTGACGGCCCGTCAATGACTAGTATTTACAATAACGGGAAAACGTCTAAATTGAATATGGATTTCTTCATAATAACACACACAAACAGTTATTGACGATAACAGGAAAATGTTCATGTTCAATATGGATTTCTTCGTAATAACACACACAAACAGTTACTGTTACCGACTCACCATACATTCGTATTTTGAGGGTCATCAATTTTCCAAAAAAACAGACACAACTAACATGAATCATCGTCAACTGAATTTGATCACACAGTTGTTATATATTTCTTTGCTTAATATACATATACATTGCGGTACAATTATCATTGTGAATTATTTGGCCACAATGATTGTGTAGGGAAAATCTTACACTATGTAAGCTACTGGGGCTGTTGTAGTATATTGACAAAGAGGTAGTATTTTCTATCAATACAAATGATATCATGATTTCTTTCACTGACCATATTTGAACAAAAACATGTATAGCTGACAAAAGCTTGTTTTTTAAAGTGAATTTGTGGGATTTAAATTAAATTGAAAGTCATTGCTAAACACAAACAGGTCACTTAAGATTAAGTTAAAGTAAATTCACAGTTTCTACCAGCTGCCTGAACAGATTGACAACAACAACCATCCATGAAGGTTGAATAATGCCCTTCAATAAAAAAAAGAACTGAGCAGGTTCTTTGGGATGTGTAATGGACTGAGTTAGCTTGGTGTGTGCGTTTACCCTTTTTTTATGGTACTGCAGAACACACTCCTGTGCAGTTAAGTGCAGTGGTTGGGTCAGGTAGTTAGTTCAACTGAGCTCCACTCAGAGTGACTCTTTTATTGATCCTCCACATGAAATTGTGCAGGGACCTTCCTGCACGCCGCAGGCCACCGTCATAAACACTCCACTGGGCACATCTGAATACAAGCAGGCAGACACATAAAACACACAAGCACAGAATACACAACTCATTCCAGCGCCTTTATGCACGTGCACGTGTGGATGCTCTGTTGCTCAGTATTAACTGTCATCTTTTCATTGTTTCAGTTTGCATTTATTTTGCCTTGCTCTGCATTTTTTCCACTATGCTCAGGGGGAACACTCGCCACTGATTTTCAATTTGTTTTTAACACACTGCATGATTATTCCCCATGCTGTTGACTAGAACTATTGACAACTGCGTGTGCATATTTATGTGTGCATGCACATGTGCATGCCTCTGGGTTTGAGTGGATTGTGTGTGTGTGTGTGTGTGTGTGTGTGTGTTTGTTTTGTGGAACATCAATATGTGGTGGGAAAAAATTACTTCTTTTTTTTTTTCGTCCTCTTGTGCCAACATGATAGAAAAGTGTCTTTCAACACACAGATAACAGCTCCAGCTGACAAAGCTGCTTTTCGTGTGGGGTCTAATCCATAGAGACAAACACTCCCTCTCTCTCTCAAACACTCACACACTTTTCTGTAATCCTCACTCGTCCACAGTCTCTCATTGTCTGAGCTTCCATTCTCTGAGATGACACTTCAAAGCCGGTATAACAACACATTGTCTATCTGCCCCTGCAAACTGCTGTGAAGGACTTTAAACCCCCGAGTCTTTGGTCTCTGTTTCTCTCAACACGGACAATGCTCAAATCCTCTAATCTCACACACTGATGGTGGCCTAATACACTTCATCCTTATATGACATTGTGATGCGTGTGCGTTTCTTTGCACACTTTGGACACACAAAAATTAGGTATAGACTCTGGAGAATATAGCAGGTGAAAGACAAAAATTGAGGCTCACTATCTGACTATCAGCCCCACCAGTAATCTACTTTACGGTCCGACTCCAATTCCCCCGAGCTGACAGCTTGCCTTCCTGTTGTGTGCTGGCGTCAAACAGCAGCGAAGCTGTTCACACTCGTGGCTTTGCAGAAACCATTGAGACTATTTAGATCAGACTGTCCTTGATCTAGATACGTCCACATTGAGACAGGGTTTATCAGAATGATCAATGTTTTGGTACCTTCGGGTCTAAAAAGCACTCAAGATTTTTAATGAGAAAAAGATTTAATCTGTAATCTGGGAATGTTTCCCTGCATTAGTTATACTGTAGCTTCGGGCGGTCGCGGGCCGTCGGGAGACGTTAGACGCTGTTCATGTCTGTTCAATCCATTTTTGTTGCATTCACCACCATCGGACCCAAAGCAACCGCTTTCACTGCTGTTTGCTAAAGTAGCTGGAAAGCTCATCATCTCATAGTGGTCAAGTGTCAATTTTAGCAATTAATTAGGTTTTTTTTTTTTTATTGGTTTACACATCCATTAAAATTCTACCACTGATCTAAACCCAAGCCACATTGATTGATTATTATAACTAGTTCGTTGGAACCAGCTGAGAATTTTTGAAAATATTATAAAAATGTCAGTGAAATTTATAAATAATTGATTTGATTGATTGATATTTGCCGTCCGAGTAGTTCCGGGTCATCATTTGACCGGATATATGTCAGTCAAAAATTCTATGGTGTTGTTTTTATTTAGTTTGGTCATCACAGTAAAAACCCTGGATATCCTTTTGAATAACAGTTCTTTGAGCCAAACCTCTCATCCTTACAATTAATAACATAATCAGATTCAGATTTGGTCTGGGCTCATCTTTTCTCTTTGCTGAGCAGTTTGTTAGTTTTGAGTCTGTTGTGTTCTCACCTGGTCGTTGTGTGTGTTAAGATCACATCACTTCCACAATATTCACATTCCAACTTCTATTCCCACTGAAACATACTGTTACGAACCCCTCGATAGGGTGAAGGCTCGTTCAGCCAAGGGGTCAGCAACATAAAGAAAACGCGATAGGCAGGAAGCGATGCAAAGATCTTTTATAGTTTTCCAACCTCCAGCCTCTCCGTTTTACACCTTAACATAACACAATAGTCGCTCGAACACAAAACACTGGTCTCCTGGTGTTGCAGCCGGGCCTGGCGCTCTCGCAGGTCTCCTCCTTTCCCCCGGCGCTCAGTCGCTCTCCCCTCTATATGCTCAGCCTGAGCCATCACCGCAACCGCTCTCAGGTGCGCAGGGGCAGAGCCTGCACTCAGAAAGGCCAAACCAATTAATAATTACAAAAGTAACAAACTCAGAAGGCTGTGGCCGTAACACTTCCCCCCCTAGAGGAAGAATCATTTTTTTTCCTTCCTCTTTTCCTCCTTCCTTAGAGGGAAAAAGAAAAACTGATTCTGCATGGATTCATACAGAAAAACCTGTTCCTAAATTAATCCGCGAGACAATGCATCTGCAACTACGTTGTCAGAGCCTCTTTTATGACGGATCTCAAGATTGTACGGCTGAACCATTAAGGCCCAACGCATGAGTCGTTGATTTTGGTTATACATTTTGCTCAGAAAAACAAGTGGATTATGATCTGTATAAACAACGACAGGAGACGCACTAGCCCCCACGTAGACGTTAAACTGTTGTAACGCTAGCAACAGAGCTAAGGTCTCTTTTTCAATGGTTGAATAATTCAACTGATGACTGTTGAACTTAGCTGAGAAGTATGATACAGGGTGGCCTAGGTTGTCAGCACCCTCCTGCAGAAGGACAGCTCCCACTCCAACCGCGCTGGCGTCCACCTCCAGCTGGAACGGACGAGTCAGGTCGGGGGCGGACAGCACCGGTGCACTGCAAAGGAGAGATTTTGCCGACAGGAATGCCTGCTCGCATTCGTTAGTCCAAAGAAAGCCCACTTTTGGACTACACAGTGTTGTTAACGGCGCAACAACAGTCGAGAAGTTTTTACAAAAACAACGATAGTAGCCAACCATTCCCAGGAACCTACGTAGTTCTCTCCTCGTAGTAGGTGTTGGGTAATTGAGCACAGCAGCCACCTTTCCGTCCCGTGGTCGCACTTGACCATTTCCCACCTGCTTCCCTAGATACGTTACAGAAGCTTTTACAAATTCACATTTCTTGAGATTCAACGTTAAGGAAGCAGCGGACAATCGGCCAAACACGTTATGCAACGTTAACATGTGTTCATCCCACGTAGACGAGTAAACGACAACATCGTCTAAATAAACAGTACAGTTAGGGACCCCCCCTAAGACTGTGGACATTAACCGCTGAAATGTTGCGGGCGCGTTTCGGAGACCGAAGGCCATACGCGTGTACTGCAGAAAAGCGTCGGGGGTTACAAACGCAGAGATCTTAGAAGCCCGCTCGGTGAGGGGCACCTGCCAATAACCTTTCAATAGGTCCAATTTGGTAATGTAGTTTGCACTCCCAAGACTATCCACACAATCGTCCACACGTGGTAAGGGAAAAGCATCAGCCACGGTGACGGAATTGACCTTTCGGAAATCGGTACAAAAACGAAGGGACCCATCAGCCTTCGGCACCAGAATGCACGGCGAGCTCCAGGGGCTACTACTCGGAACAGCGAACCCATTCTCTAGTAAATATTGGACCTCAGCTTTCATTGCCTCTCTCTTAGTTAAGGGACAGCGGTAAGCATGTTGCTTGAAAGGTCCTGCACGGCCAACTTCGATGTCATGCTGGATGACATTAGTTCCGGGAGGTACGTCATTGAACAGATTTGGAAACTCTTTTATCAGGTTCATTACGTACAGTTGCTGTTCGCGAGATAAATAGGCCAGTTGAGAAGGGAGGGAAGTTAAGACTTCCGAATTTTTGAAACACCCCCCGTTTAAAACTTCCATAGAGACCTGCAACCCATCATCCTCAGTGTCGGCGGGTAAAGCATAAGTTACCAATGAGACCTGCTCGGTGGGTGCCTTAGCTACCGGATCGTCAGGGGTGGTCGCTTTCGGTTCAACACGACATAAATAGGGTTTCAACATATTTATGTGACATACACGTGTTTTTCGCCTCCGTTCTGGAGTGTACAAGATATAGTTAGTTTCATTCAACTTACCCTTGATCACGTACGGACCCGAAAAACGGGCCGAGAGAGTGGTCCCATGAATGGGGAACAACACGAGAACTTTATCTCCAGGCAGGAAACGACGCACCACCGCTTTTGTATCAAAGCGTTTCTTCATCTTCTTTTGCGACAATGAAAGCGCTTCCTTCGCCGTATTACAAGCGTCTCGCAAACGTTCCCGAGTACGTGAGACCAACTCGAGAACGTTGGTTTTCGCGGACAAACCTCTATCGAGAAATTCTTCCTTTAGCATTTTTAAAGGACCCCGGACATCATGCCCGAACACGAGCTCAGCCGGACTGAACCCGAGCGAGTCCTGTCTTGCCTCACGCACTGCAAATAAAACTAACGGGACCCCATCATCCCATTCCTTTCCAGTCTCGGTGCAATACTTGCGAAGTGCGGATTTTAACGTCTGATGCCACCGTTCTAAAGCTCCTTGCGACTCAGGGTGGTAGGCACTTGCAACGACATGAGCCACTCCAAGAGCCTTTAAGGACGTACGGAAAACGCGAGACATAAAGTTTGAACCCTGATCGGTTTGGACCGTTTTCGGCAACCCAAAGGTGGTAAAGAATTTTGTTAGTGCCTTAGTTACCGTCTTGGCCGTGATGTTACGTAACGGGATGGCTTCCGGAAAGCGTGTCGCGACGCACATGATTGTTAACAAGTATTGACACCCGGACTTAGCACGAGGGAGTGGACCGACACAATCAACTAGCACGCGCTCGAATGGTTCGCCGACGGCAGGAATAGGACAGAGGGGAGCCGGCGGCACAACTTGATTAGGCTTCCCATTGACCTGACAGATGTGACAGGTTTTGCAGTATTGTGCGACATCAGTTTTTAAACCTGGCCAGAAGAAATACTGGAGCACCCGGTTATAGGTCTTAGTGATACCGAGGTGTC